CTGAACATCGACGTCACTGCGCTGCAGGAAACCAGAGTTGCATCAAACGGCAGCCTCAAAGGATTTGCAGTGAAGAATTCTCTGTTGTCCATTGTAGAACCGCCATCCATTGGTACCGCCCACATCCTGTCTCTCCGCCTGTCAACCTTCTCAGCCCCAGTGAATATCTTGAGTGTCCATGCTCCTACACTCTGCTCCTCAGCTGAGACCAAGCACCAGTTCTACGAAGAGCTTGACACCACCATCATAGACATCCCTGCCGTGGGACAACTATACCTGCTCGGCGACTTCAATGCCCAAGTGGGTTCCAACTGTGACTTCTGGTCCAGCTGCATCGGTCACTTCGGCATCGGCAAGATGAACAAGAATGAACAGAGGCTTCTCGAGTTATGTTCTTACCACGACCTCTGCATAACCAACACATTCTTTGCCACCAAGCCGCATCGCCGAGTATCCTGGCGGCATCCCAGATCTCGCCACTGGCACCAGCTGGATCTCATCATCATTCGGAGACCTTCACTGAACTGCATACTCACCACACGCAGCTATCACAGTGCTGACTGTGACACTGACCATTCCACGGTCGGCAGTAAAGTCCGTCTCCAACCCAAGCAGATCCACCGATCCAAGCAGAAAGGTCGCCCCCGCATTAACAACATGGCAATCCCAGACCTGTGTGAGCACTTCACCAACTCCATCGAGGATGCTCTCAAAAACTGCCCTGATGGCAATGCTGAAGAGAGGTGGAGTCACATCCATGATGTCATCTACAACTCTACAATGGACACCCTCATTCACCACAAGAGGGAGCCTTCCATGAAGTCACTCGTTGCACTCAGGAAGGCCAGAAACGACGCCCAACGGATCGCTCGGCACTGCGCCAATGATTACTGGGTCAACCTCTGTGAGAGTATCCAGCTCTCCGCTGATTGCAGCAACATTCGCAGCATGTACGAAGGCATGAAGAAGGTCTTCAGCCCAAGCGTAAAAAAGATTGGGCCCCTGAAGTCAACTGCCGTTGACATCAAAACAGACCATAGCAAGCATTTGGAGAAGTGGGCTGAACACTACCAGGAACTCTACTCAAGAGAGAACGTAGTCACAGCCGCAGCTGCCGAGAACACCACCAGCCTACCTGTCAAGGAGGAGCTAGATGCTCCACCCTCAATAGATGAACTGAGCAAGGCCATTGACTTCCTAGCCTTTGGTGACATGATCTGCTCCCTACGACACCTCCAGGAGAACATCTGTACATCGCATTTATTGACCTGACCAAGGACTTCGACCTCGTCAGCAGGAACGGCCTTTTCACTCTGCTGCAGAAGATTGGATGTCCTACCAAGCTCCTGAGGATGATCACATCTTTCGATGAAGACATGCAGGGCACAGTACAGTACAATGGCTCCTCCTCGGACCCATTCCCAATCAAGAACGAGGTGAAACAGGGTTGCATACCTGCTCCAACACGTTTTAGAATCTTCTTTCTGTTGCTGTCCTAGAGGACGGAGTGTACCTTCAAATCAGAAGCGACGGCAGCCCCTTCAATCTTGCCCGCCTCTGAGCTAAGACCAAAGTGCGGCAGGTACTCATATGACAGATGCTCTTCACTGATGATGCAGCACTGACGGCACACTCTGAAGAATCATTGCAACGACTCATCAACTGCCTTGCGCATGCATGCAGAGAGTTTGGTTTGACCATCAGCCTAAAAAAGACTAACATCCTGGGCCAAGATGTGAGCAATACCTTAAGCATCACCATTGGCAATTACACCTTCGAGGTCGTCGAGGACTTTATGTACCTCGGCTCCACCATCTCCAGCAACCTCTCCCTGGACGCCGAACTCAACAAGCGCATCGGCAAGGCGGCAACTGCCATGGGTCGCCTGGCAAAGAGAGTCTGGGACAACAAGAAGCCGACCACCAACACCAAGATGAATGTGTACCAGGCCTGCGTGCTCTGCGGCAGCGAGCTTTGGACCCTTTACTCTCGCCAAGAGCGCAGGCTCAACACCTTCCACCTGAGCAACCTCAAGAGGATCCTGGGAATCACCTGGCAGGACCGCGTCCCAAACAAGAACTTCCTTAATCAGGCAGGCATCCCAAGCACGTTCGCCCTGCTCACCCAGCATCGGCTCCGGTGGCTCGGCCACGTCAGGAGAATGGACGATGGGAGGATCCCCAAGGACATTCTGTTTGGCGAGCTCGCCACTGGCTCCAGACCTACAGGAAAACCTGTCCTACGCTTCAAGGATGTCAGTAAGCGGCTGAAAAAGTGCTATGAAAGCCTGCACAAAAAGGAGTGAGGAGAGGAGAGCCCAACAGAGGAAAGAGAGGAGAGAGCGCAGACGACAGAGGGCAGCATCAGTGCCCTCGGAATCTGCGCCACCTACACCTGTGGCAACTGTAACAGAGCCTGCCGATCCAGGATAGGCCTGTACAGTCACAGCAGGCGCTGCAACTCGACAACAGACTGATCCGAGGCGCAGAACTCCATTGCC